GAAAAAAAATCAAAAAAAAAAAAAAAAAAAAAAAAAAGAAGAGAATTATACTGTTCAAAATCCGACAAGACAACATTTAGTTTTTCACAAATAATAGTAATCTTTTTTTTAGAAAAATGATAAAAAAACTATTCATTCAGAAAGAAAATAAAATTTTTGTTTTTTTTTTGCTTTTAACAGAAAAAGAAAACAGTTGTTCTGTTCAGAAAAAGTGAGCTTATAAAATCAGATAAATTATGACTTATAAAAAATCCTTATGTACATCAAAAGAAAAAATCCTATTCAGATTTACACCCCCCAAAAGTATATGACAAATTTAAGCAGTAAATTTGTGTTGTATGTGGTGGTCTTTTAAAGCAAAATTTCAATATTTCTTAAACATATAATCAGAATTTTTTTTCGCTTTTTTTTTTCTTTTTGTTCTTCTTTTTTAACCATTAAATTGTAAGATAGTAACCAATGAAAATAATGCCAGTCAAAAAAAAATGTGTAATATTTGTGGAAAATTTTGTAACACAGAAAGCATTGTTATGGCGTTTTTAAAATAATGAGAAAAAAAAAAGAGAAAGAAAAAGCGTAATGAGCAATAAATATAAGGCATTTTAGACAAATTGCTCAACAGACCAATAACGTGATTGAAACTGCAGATAAATCATCTATAATCTAAGAGCACAACTTAACAGTTATCACAGTGCTAAATCCGCTAAATGTCAGAAGCTTTTTACGGTAATTCTTCCGCAATTAGGCATATCAATGTTTCCTTGGGGACATTGGATTACGACAGCAGTGCCGATGACGATGACGATAAGAAATTTGAATACTCTCGAAAACTATCAAGAAATTGCTGTCTGCCGAACTGAAATCAATTGTGGAAATGTTGCAACTAAAAATATCATGAAAACTTTCAACTAGTTTACAAAGAACTTGTTGAACATACTTGTAAACTTGTCCATTGCAACAGTTTATTAGACTTCCTACCTACTTGGAGCCGATATTTGGCCATTGCATCCAGCCACGCCCAACATCTCCACTTTCCTCCTCAACTCTTTAAAAAGATTGAGGAACACTTGTCTAAGTTATGTTCACATTTCTTCCTTTC